GAATTTCCGTAGGCGTCTTTTCTCGGGGGATTTTCGGCCTAAGATGCTTAATTCACGTGTTGCGGACTTGCGGCCACTGTTTTGTGGGAATATTGCTTCAGTTTTTGATATTTTTTTATTTGTGATGGGGCATGGTCGTCCTTGGACAATTCGGCTGGTGCGGGTTGGATTTTTCGAGTATGATTCGCTTGTAGTGTGGAGGAGGGGGGTGCTTGTGCTTCCTTCTCCTCCTCAGCTCTCCATTCCAAGTTACAAGCTTGCTTCTGAGGGTTACATCATGTCCACACAAAGGGTTTTTGTAAGATCCTTATTTTTTCAGATTGCGAATCTCTTTGTTTGATGTTGGCCCGGCAACAGCGTGCCGACATTTTTCTCTGCTGGTTGATTCGAGCTCTTTTGACTAATGTTGAGGTCTGCAACATTCGCAAAGTTCCTAAGCAGTGGGTATCTGCAGCACGTTGGTTGGCTAGGAAGGCTTGGGTTCAGGAGTTTCTTTGTTGGTCTTTTTAAGTTTGTGTTTTTCATTTATTGTTCTCACTGTTAAAATTTTTTTTTTTAAAAAAAAGTTTTATTGAATTGAAAAAATCAAGCTTAATTAAAAACATCAAAAATAGGAAGTAGAATTAAAAATCCGATCACTTTGAGAAAGTACTCTAGTACTCTGTCTATACGAGCAAGTGGGGTGGTCTCGTGAGAAGTGATCCGTGCAACAAAATGTAATGTTAACCCACGATGTATGGCGCATTATGCCTTTAAATAAATGAATAATCCAATGGTTGACCCTTTTTCACATCAATATAATCAATAGTCCTTACTTTTAATTTTCTGCTGATTTTTGGCACGGAATCTTGTATTCGGACCTCTCATTTTACGGACTATTCATTGATTGTCTTATTCTATAATCAAACAAAAACCAAATATTCATGCATGCAGTGCTAGCTAATCTTTTGTGGTAGATGTTTAGATGACAAGGGAAGGGACGAATAATTGCTTCCCTATTTCAACAGTATTACATTCTCTGAAATCTGAATTATGACATTGATCGGTAGGTATTGATCAGATATGCGTTATTTAAGGGTTCAATGTAAATTTTACTCCATAATTATTATTATTATTATTTTTTTGACGGAACTCCATAAATATTTTCTTTTTAAAAAATAAAAATAAAAATAAAAATATATGCGGCCTTAAGAATAATATGAAAAATTAATCATATCGTTAATTATATCAATAACAAATACAACGGGCCTGTTTTCTTATGTTGAAATTCAGTCCAGTTCAGTTCAGCTCAGCTCCTAATTTCCTTCTCTTATAAAATATTCATTTCAATTCAGTTCAGCTCAATTCAGTTCAGTTTTGTTCAGCTGAGTTCAGTCAATGAGAACATGCCCTGCGTATGATCGATTTTATTCATAGATTCATAATATCTATTGATGTGAAGAAAAGTACAAAAAGGCAACATGCAAACCTTGTGTGTTAATAAGTCAAGGTCAAGTTTAATTAGATAGAGTGGGAATATTGACTCCAACAATCCAACTTTAAACAGAGGGCCAAGGAATAAGGAAGGATTCCTAATTGGAAGGCAAATGGTTTTTTTTTTTTTTTTTTTTTTTTTTTTTTTTTTTTTTTTTTTTTTTTGCTTCAACGAATTCATTTCCTTTGATGTATGACGTGAAAATTTCATCAAAACTCTTGTAGTGGTATTACCTTTCATTCTTTCAATATTTAATTTCATAGTTCTCTTTCGTCTTACCTTATATCTTTCCCTTTGCTTTCAACTTTGAAAAAGATGTGTACAATTTTTTTATTTTTTTTTTTATTTTTTTATTTTTTTTTTTGAAAGAGAAAGATGTGTACATCTTAAGAACAAATTAAAAAAAAAAAATCCTCATTATCTTTAAGTTGCAAAGTTTCGACTTCTATATAATTTAATAATTAATTGTATCACATTTGATCATATTTTCTTTATTATTATATAGAAAAAAATGTTTTTAATGTGAAAAAGTAGTTAGAATTATTTTTCAAATAATTTTCTCAAAATATAAAACTATAATTAGTTTTACTAATCACTAATAAATATTCAAATAATGGGAGTTAGTTCGATATCGTCCATTAACAACTTTATGTAAACTGTCTACCATGCAATATATAATATTATCGCTATTGATTGCTTATTAATTTTCAAAGCATATTTATTAATCATTTAACATAATCTTCTATTTTAGATACTCACATCTTCGTCAAAAGGAAAAAAAAGTTCATATCAAAATTCAATTTTGTCTGCAAGCTAAGTTGATCATATTCTTCTTCAATTCATACATTGCATAATGAAATTCTTCAATAGTTCAATTTATAGTTACGTTCTAAAAACGAAACTAGCTAGCTAGCTATTTATATTCCATCATGGAAAATAAATGTGACACATTATAGGAATAATACTACTTAAACTATTGTACATCTTCTAAGTTCTAACACATACTTTATGTGCATAGTCCAAAAATAGATATTTTATCACACTATTATTCTTTATCACTCCATATTATACTTTTATCTAATGGTTCTACGTACTATATACGTATCAACTTACTCACAATTTCTTGATCTAGTATTTAATTTAGTGAGCTAGCTAAACACTAATTGAGAATATGAGGAAATTAAAGAGAAATGATTTGATATACATACATTATTGTAATTATATAAATTACTAATCTACTCTAGTACCACAAATACTTTAAACCCCTAAATTATATCATTCGCCTATCAATCAACAATATTATACACAATGCATATAAATATTATATATACACAATGCATAATAGGTTTTCTTTTATTTATATATATATATATTTTTAAACAACATATCTATAAATAGTAACCAAAATAAAATAGAAAGGTAAACAAACAAAATTAAATCCTCATTTGTATGGCGTGCATTATCATACTTCACATGAAATAGACATTGACTGCTAGTAGAGTTCAATTTAACAACATTTTTTTCTTTTATTGTCTACAGAGTATCTATTTGCGTGGGTACTCGCTTGATATATCAAATCTCCAAACGAGCCCACACATTACTTGCTTGAAATAATTGCTCCGTACTTTTTAATTCCTATGAAAATATGTTGATTTTATTTTCAAGTTTGGTAACAACTACGGAGTAACAAATTTGACGTTTAAATTATTTTATGTCGTATTATGCAATTTTTTAAAGCTAAACATGAAAATGTATGTTACATGATTTCTTTCTTAATAATGAAAATTTAGTTAGACACAAACAATTATTTATAAACAAATGAACTACTTCTAGATCAAAGATTCAACCTTATAGATACGTATTGCATAGTACGTAGTATAGAGTAAAACACAAATACGGTCCCTGAACTTTTATATTTGTGTACTTTTAGTCCCTCAACTTTCATTTGTGCACTTTTGGTCCCTCAACCACCACTCTTGGTGTTTCTGACCAAAAAGTTGACGGACCTTGCCTAGTCAGTGAAAGTTTAGGAACTATGACTTAATAATTTATTTATTTTCTTTTTTTTTCAGATTTTTATTTAAAAATGAATCTTTTTTCCCTAAATTTTCTTTTTTTTTTGTTGGACCATAACTTATTATACTACGTTTGTTTTTTCTAAATTAAATGTCAAATAAAATAATAAAAACAAAGATAAATTATCTGAATATGAGACCGTTAATTTGACGGAAAATCTAAAAGAATTCTCAACATCAAATTAAGTTAATTAACGACGTTTTTACTAATTAACGACGTTTTTACTTTGGGATTTACAAATATCATCTAATTTGCCTCGATTTTATGTAAATGATGAGATTTTCGGATAAATCTCCTTCACATTCAATCAATTTTAAAAATAAAGATGAATTCAAAAAATCATAATACGAAGTACAAATTTGACAAAGAAGATTTAGGAACAATGAAAATGAACTTCATACTCGTAAAGAGTAGGATCAAGTGTTGGATTATAGTATTATACGAGTATATATTTCTTTAGATCATCCTCATCAAACACTAAACAATCCAATTAAACTATAAAATTAATTAAAATTCGATTGTGGTCACCTTTCACCTCGCCGCAACCGCAGCTCCCACCACTGCGCCACCTTCGATTCCCGCATCTCCATTCTCCACCACAACAGCCTCCACCGTCGCACACCCTAATTCGCGCAGTTGCATCTCCAACACCAGCCCACATTTCCAACACAAGCTAAGATAAATCAAAGCCTGGAATTAAAAAATGATTATTGCAGATGATTGTTGATGAGGTGCAAAGTAGGGGATTGTTTACCCCATTAGAGCAGCCAAACCGAAAGAGTAGAAGAGGAGGCTGACCACTCCTTTGTTTTTGTTTTTTATTTTAGTTTTCTTCATTTTTCTTCTTTAATTTTCGTTTTTCTATTTCTTTTTATTTCCTTTTTTCTTAATTCTTTCTTTATTTTTCCTTTTCCTATTTCTTTAAGACATTTTTTTTTTAAAAAAAAGAAAAGAAAGTAAAATAAAGTAAGGTCCCTAAACTTTTTGATACCTAAAATAATAAAAAGATTCTTTTAAAATAAAAATTTGACAAAAAATAAATAAATAAATAAATTATGAGTCATAATCCCTAAACTTTTGCTCAGTAGGATAAGTCCCTCAACTTTTTGGTCAGAAACACCAAGAGTGGTGGTTGAGGGACCAAAAATGCACAAATAAAAGTTGAGGGACTAAAAATGCATAAATACAGAAATTCAGGGACTATATTTATGCTTTACTCACCATAATATATAGAAAAATACTCCTTAGAATATACGCGTTAAACTCCTGCAAAGTAATATTAAACACGATCAATAAATAATCAATGAAAACATACTCCATAATTATACAGTATTTTAATTACACTTTCCTTTGTATTTTGTATACAATACTTTTTTTTTTTGAAGTAATATACGGAGTATATATATATATATATATTTTTTTTGGACAGGAATATACGGAGTATTTAGAAACAAAAAAGTATAAATCGAAAAATGGCAGTAACAGCTAAGGTGTCAGGCTGTCAACGGACCCAACCACCCTAAAGAAAACCAAACCAAGTGGATTAACCCATCTGAAACTGTGTCGTTTTGTCTCCCCAACCTACTCTCCCAGTCTCCCTTATTTCCCTCGTGCGCCATTTCTCACCGGCTATCCCCTGTTCCCGGTCACTCCCTTCACTTTACTCACTCACAAAATATTTTTTCTCCCAATTAAAAAAAATAAAAAATAATACGGAGTAATTTTCTCTCTCCTAGTTTTCTGTTCCATTATCACTATATATTCCTGCTTCACCTAACAATGCTCTTTTTTTCCTTTCCTTCTCCTTTTTTTTCTCTCTCTTCTCCGCCGTCCATCTCCATTTTCCGGCGGCCGTTCACCGTCGGAAACTTTTACTTTTCCGTCTCTCAGGTACTTTCTCTCTCCTCTGATCTCTCATTTTTCTTTTCAGATCTGATGTTTTTCTCTTCCCAACACTTATTTTTTCATCATTTTTTTATTGTTATTGCTTTGATTTTAAGGCTTTTATTAGTCTACTTTTTTACTGCTAGCTTTAATGTGCCATTTTTTAGCTTTTCTTTTAATTATTTTTTTTAATTTTGTGATGGATCTGCTTTTATGAGCTAATTTATTTAATTATATTATTTAAAATCTGTAATATAGGAGCTTTATTTTGTTATAATGTGATATTTGTGAGTTACATATAGTTTATACTCGATAAGATTAATGGCAATTGTTAATGTTATGCTGATTGTTTTGGTAATTTTTGTTGGAGTTTAGGAAGTTAAAGGGTATTGTTGTAGACGAGATTTGATCTAAGGTCTCGAGTATACTAACTAAGCTAGTTGACATCCACGAATTTTGTAGTTCTTATATATAGTGTATGTTAGGGGGGTATGTTTATGGATTAGGTTGATTTTTGTAAAAATAAAATAAAAAATAAAGATATATGTGAAGAAGACATGATACATGTGTTCTTAGAGTCATAGTTGTGGATAATATTTATGTGGGGTAGTGGGGGCTAACATAAAAGAATCTTTGAAGATCTTGTATTTCCAATTTGGAGGGTTTATTTTAGGTCTTTATAATTGGAGAATTTTCTTTGAGATCCCTATATATTGCCTTATTTTCTGATTTTCAAGTAATTGGATTTTTGTAGGACTTTTTGTTGTTATTGAAGGGGGTGGTGTGTGTTTGTTTGAATTATCGGTACCGGAAGAAATGGAGGGAGTTGGGCTAAGGAAAGTGAGCTCTCATTGCTCGATTTCCGAGATGGATGATTTTGACCTGTCTAAGCTTCTTGATAAGCCTAGGCTCAATATTGAAAGGCAGAGATCATTCGATGAGAGATCGTTGAGTGAGTTGTCCGTAGGACTGAATAAAGGGAGTGTAGAGAACTTTGATCACATGTACTCTCCTGGAGCAAGGTCTGGTTTCGATACCCCTGCTTCATCGACTAGGAACTCTTTTGAGCCGCATCCTATGGTTGCCGAAGCTTGGGAAGCTCTTCGACGATCTTTGGTGTACTTTAGAGGTCAGCCCGTGGGTACCATTGCTGCTTATGATCATGCTTCAGAGGAAGTATTGAATTATGATCAGGTATCTTCATTTCACAATTCATATCGCTGTAATTATTATCCTATTGCCTTTTACTGTTTTTGATTCCAACAATCTGAGACGATGTTTCGTTTTGCAGGTGTTTGTAAGGGATTTTGTGCCTAGTGCACTAGCTTTTCTTATGAATGGTGAGCCAGATATAGTTAAGAATTTCCTGTTAAAGACCCTGCAACTTCAGGCTTGGGAAAAGAGAGTTGACCGATTTAAGCTCGGGGAAGGGGCAATGCCAGCAAGCTTCAAGGTGCTCCATGATCCTGTTCGGAAATCAGATACTGTTGTTGCGGACTTTGGTGAGAGTGCCATCGGAAGGGTAGCTCCTGTTGACTCAGGTTTCTGGTGGATTATTCTGTTGCGTGCATATACAAAGTCTACTGGAGATATGTCTTTGGCAGAGTCGCCGGAATGTCAGAAGGGGATGAGGCTTATAATGACTCTGTGTTTGTCGGAAGGGTTTGACACATTTCCTACCCTACTTTGCGCAGATGGTTGCTCAATGATTGATCGGAGAATGGTAAGATGTTCTCTATAACTCTTTACTGCTGTAAATTTTCTGATTCTTTCATATGATATTCATCATCAAAAAATTTAAGGCTACCATAAAAAAAAGGTCACTAAGTGATATAAGTCCTTTTACCGTTTTAAGAGAGCATTGACTTTGACTGTTCTACTGTCATATAAAATGTGTCAAATGCATGCAGGGAATTCCAATTTCAAAATTTAATATTATCCCAAAAATTCTTATTTCTTTTTTGTCGTTGAATCTTTATTGTTATGCTGATTTCTTAATCGGTATTATTTGATTTGGCTAATGATATTGATACGTACAACCCCACCATATTATCATCATTAATTCATTACTGTCATAGTTTAACTTGCTCCATCACCATATACGAGTTGTTGCCTGATAAAATCTATTGATCAAATCGCCATAAAGGTTGCCCATTCTTTTGATTCAAACAGAAGTAGGTAATCCATGCTAATTTCACCAATAGAATGATATTTTTTTCATGACCAAACCTAAATTCATCATTTCTGTAATGACTGTGCATGAACTTGACTTTTTATCTCACGTAGTTTTCAATACATCTGTTTTATATGAAATCTGATGACAAGGGTTGTTGCTACTCGTCAAACTACATGCTAATATAACTTGAGCATTGTGTCTTTGGTTTCACCATATAACAATCCTTTAAAATTGTTCTGTTGACTTAATATCCACATTTGTATTCTAAGACATGATCATCTTCCAGGGAATTTATGGCTATCCCATTGAAATTCAATCGCTCTTCTTCATGTCACTGAGATGTGCTTTGGCTATGCTTAAACATGATGGAGAAGGAAAGGAATTTATCGAAAGAATAGTGAAGCGGTTGCATGCATTGAGTTTTCACATGAGAAACTATTTTTGGCTTGATTTCCGTCAACTAAATGATGTCTACCGTTACAAAACAGAAGAATATTCTCATACTGCTGTGAATAAGTTTAATGTCATTCCCGATTCAATTCCAGATTGGGTTTTTGATTTCATGCCTACACGTGGTGGTTACTTTATTGGAAATGTTAGTCCAGCAAGGATGGATTTTCGATGGTTTGCGTTGGGCAATTGTGTTGCCATCCTTTGTTCTCTTGCAACTCCAGAGCAATCTATGGCTATTATGGATCTCATTGAAGAGCGCTGGGAAGAGTTGGTAGGAGAAATGCCTCTAAAAATCTCTTATCCTGCCATAGAAAGTCATGAATGGCGGATTGTCACAGGATGTGATCCCAAGAATACCAGATGGAGCTACCACAATGGAGGATCTTGGCCAGGTTTGCCCTTTTTCTTGTTTATTTTAGCTTTCTTCTTGATGGTTATGTAGAAAGAATTTCTCTTCGTATTTTGATGACTTGCATTATCCCTTACACCTGCTACATGAGGTTGCTTTACAAGAATAAATAAGACATACCAAATGAATAGGTTGTCAATTTAATTATGCCTCCGTGTGAGACATGCCTACTCATTCAATATCTCTCTTTTGCACCTTTTAGTGATTTTGCTAATAACCAGTACACTGTCGTGAGTCCTGACTTGTTGAACGAGATTTAATAAACTCGAATTAATGGCTAATGCTTGGGATTTTCCTATAGTGTTGTCAAATTAGCAGTCCATTTTCAGTTAGGGTTCCGCTGGATTTTTATTCTATCTAAAGTAGTATACTTCAGTAGCAGGCTAGCAGTCCTGACTGCACAGGGTCAGGACACCTCTATAAGCCTCAGAATTTCTTATTAGTAGTAAAATAAAATAGTAATTACTCAAGTTTCTTACTGATATCGTTATTGGTCATTTCTATGAAATAGTTGGTATGAAGTATATTATTAGCAACTCTGCATCACATTTATTATATCTACCTTGTGTTTGAAGAATCGAACATTTATGTTCTTTCCTCTTGTTTTCCCATCTCTTCTTCTGTGCTGCTTGCAGTTCTTTTATGGTTGTTAACGGCAGCGTGCATCAAGACTGGTAGACCACAGATTGCAAGACGAGCCATTGATCTGGCAGAGTCCCGTTTGCTCAAAGACGGCTGGCCAGAATACTATGATGGTAAACAAGGCAGATACATTGGAAAACAAGCACGAAAATTCCAAACTTGGTCAATTGCTGGATACCTTGTGGCAAAAATGATGCTAGAAGATCCATCACACTTGGGTATGATCTCCTTGGAAGAAGACAAGTTAATGAAACCATTGATTAAGCGATCATCCTCTTGGACGTGCTGAGCCTAAGCAAATAGTAGGAGGTAGTATTGAAAAAAATACAAGGCTTAAAAATGCTAAGTAATTGTTATCGTAATTCTGGCGATGTTCATTCTTTGGCAATTTTCTTGCCGTTCTCAGGACTGATTGCAAGGTCTGGTTGTGTACAATAGTGTCTGCTGGCTTCTTGTTTCACAAATAACTTCTTTTTTCCTCCAAAATTTCATAATCAAATGGTTACTTCCCTATGTTGAAATCAACTTCCGAAAATTTAGTTACTCTACTTTATTTGGAGTATTTTGTGCCCATTTTTTGTTGATACTCAGCAGTTTACCCATCATAATCTTAGAATACGAAGACAAATGCTTTCGTCATAAAATTTAACCAGTATGATATTGCAACAAACTTGAGCTTTAATATGCAGTCCTTTGCATTCGCTTTTTGACCCAAGCAGAAACTAAATGAAGTATAATCAATTACTCCTATTTCTTTAAAATGGATTTGTTTTGAGATAACATTAATCCATTATTACTTAGAGTAGTTAGACACTCTAACGAGATGGGAATTTATGCCATTTGTCTCATTTTACATGATCCATTACAACCTTTTGATGCGCCATCAGCATCGAAGAAAACTTGCCGAAATGCATAGGAGTAATATGAGATCTTACAAATACAACGTACAAGAAGAATTTCATTGAACCAAAACCACAACAGCAGCTGGTATATAGTAGCAATTGGCAGAAATCATTACAAAATTTTTATTGTCAAATGAACCTTTCCAAGTTCTAGCAAAGGTAAGATTCCAAGCAAAAAACTGAAAGTGATATGAAAAAAGCCATCATGATCTTTCAATACAAGGCCAACTCAGTAGTCTGTATAACTTCCAACAATATAGGAAAAAAGGAACTATGATGAACTTAAGATGCAGTCTTCTTTTGCTGGAAAACAACTGCATAGACGGGGACAAAGACTCCGATGCTAAAGGCAGCCAATACACTAAGGGACATCTTCAACTTCTGGTGCTTCATCCTGTCCAAGTTGTACATGTGTTTCGCGTGAAGGTAGAATGGCTCATCATGACCATGTCCTCCCATCATTTTCATCCCACTCGAGTGAAATTCTCTGCTTGCTGTAAGCACAAAAATCACTTAACTTAAATAAACTGGATCTTTCTTGTACCATCAGACATTAAATATAAAGAGGACAAAAGAATCTAACAGACAACAAATTTACAATAGGATGACTAAAATTAGACAGTGTTCAACTTTCTTGCCATCATATCCCATGGTTTCATAATTATGCACACAAAAAAGTAGATCCTCAGCCTTGAAATCAGTTCAAGAGTTGCAGAATTGGAGGCAAATCAGGAGTATTCTGGACTTAATACCCCCAGTGCTTAATAGCTTATTTGCTAACCCAGCTTGATCACTCTCTAAAAAAAGAATTTCAAGCACCAAAATTATTGCATAAAGGCAAGATAGCACCATCTCACACAGTCTCACAAATCCTAAGTTTTATAAGAAAACAAAGTTACGAACTATTGAAAATAAGTTTGAAAACATGTTGACATCATAACCACCAAAGGCACACCACTAATAAGCATTCAGGGCTTCAGGTCAATCCTCCAATGAGGGAGGTGTAAGGTGTTCACTTCCACATTCAGAGGCAGTAGTTTACATGTACAAAGCTTTTTGTTTAATTTTTATTTAAAAAAAAAAAGAAAAGAAAAAAAGTTTGTATTAAAGCTCAAACAGAAGGATACAGCAAGATGTCCTCATAAAGAAACACAAAAATCATATTTACCCAGACCCTTAGTATCTCTACAATTGGATGTAGCCAAAAAGCCCCAAGGCCCCCAACTGCAATAACCCAAACCAATCCTGACAATGTTTATTTTGAGAAGAAGCAACTACGTTGAAATTTAATTAGACAATGCCCCCTCCCTCCTCCTTTTTACATAATCCCTACCTGCTCTTCATAACTAATATTAGAGAGACCGAGGTTCATGAGGGTAACCCTCAACCACCATGTACCCATGGAAGCAATGATCTTTGAAATCACCTTCCCAAAACCCTGCCTTTAGCTCACAGCCAGACAGCTCCATCCCATAAAAATACCTGCATCAGCTTCAGGCTTCACAAGTACAAATCCGCCTTTTGCAGCATTCAGAATAATTCACAATTTCACATAATAAGGTATATTGCGTATATAAATTATATAGTGGGAAAATACCTCAAGAAAACAAAATATGAATGACACTAAACTTCCTCCTTCCAACATCCAATTGATCCAAGATCTAAAGGCATACAATCATCCCCAACAAGTTTAACATCATAAATCCTAACAGCATCTCCAACCTCCTTGTTTCAACCAACTATAGGTATGACTTATTGGTGGCACCTAGAGAACAGTTTTTTTAGGTTTTTTTTTTTTTTTTTTTTTTTTTTGAAACAGACAATATTGCGATACACCCCATATATGGGACATTGGAACAGCCACGAAAACTGCCTAAGCCTTGAATAGCTGTCTTTAAAAACAATAATAGCTTCAGACTTCTGCACCCTATAATAATAAGTCAGATATGGTTCTAACCTAATTAACAACATAATAGGTGCAACAAGAAATTAAGACTTAACCAATCATTCTAATCCACCCAAAAAGGCACTGAACTCTAGCTAGAAGCCATCAACTATTGCTTACTAAACATATGTCATGTGTTACGAAATCATTCCTTGGAAGAACAGGAATCACTACATCCCCACATTTTACCTCAACCTATTCCGTGATAAACACAACCAACTTACATTCGCATTCTTGCTTGGTCTAACCATCCATTAAAGCGCACACTTTCAGCTCTGAATAATCTCAATAGATTGAGACGCCAATTCACACTTCAATAGTCATTCACCTACCTCCAACTATGCACATATCTAATTCCTAAACTCCTTTACCAGCCAGAAATGAGATAAACAAATCCATAAATAAACACTGAGCTCACCTATCCATAAACCTATATAATCTCCATTGTAAATTGTAATACAGATTCTCAATACGATTGCGCCATTATAGCAAAAAAAAAAAAAAGCATTGCATTCTGATGATCAATAAAAATTCATATAGCTGCATAAAGCCTCCTGATCAAATTGAAGATGCATTAAATCACAAGTTCTAAAAATTGAAAATTTTAAGAGAAATTCGTAGAATTCCACCATCTAATTTCCGTAATTAACAAACAGATACAACTCAATATCCTAATTCCAGATGAATCAAAATCATAATTCATATAATCAAAAGTTGTCAAATTTCCAGATGCAACAAACGTAAAGAGAAAAAAAATAAAAAAAGGGGTGTGAAACACATTAAAAAATGAGTAATACGCATCAAACAGATCTAAAAAAAATCGTATAATTTTAGAGTTAATTCGCTTCAAATTGGGGAAATTAAAAGAACCCTAGATTTGTAAGACCGACTAACCTGGCTTAGATAAGATTGACCCAGAAGAATTCATGAGCTTTGATGCACAGGATCGCAACCCATTGTTCAACGCCATGGCTTTAGAGAGAGAAAGAAAGAGAAATGAAGAGAGAGAATCGAAAACAAAAATGGCTGAAATTTCTAGCACACAAGAGAAAGCAAAGACCCAGTAAAGTTGTAAGGTACCAAGAGATTATCTCTCACGCGCTAGTATTGTATACCCTAGTGTTCATATCTTCTTGGGCCTCGGTTAGTCTTCTGTTTTAACTCGACCCAAAATCAATGACCCATTTGTTTTCAGCGATGAGAATCGATTTTAAGGGATATTCCTAGGAATCCTTAAATCGGGAGGTTTTTTTGAGCTATTCCTCATTTTTACATAGAAATATTATTTGTGAAACATAAAAACTCTCTTTATTCTTTTTAATGAAAATTTTTTTGTTCGATGTTGTGGGTGGTGGATTTAGAAACATGTCGAATGTGTCGGTTGAGTTTGATTTAGGTCAAGGTAATAACTTATTCAACTTAGGCAATATTGGATTATGTTATGGCTTAACTTTGTTGTCATTGATATTACCAAATTCTTTGAGGTGAATTTTAATTTGTCAAGAATAAGCACTTTGTACTTGGTATGTACTATATAGTACGAAGAATAAATTAGAACTAAGAAGCAAAAGCTAAAGAAGGATTTTGAGCTAGAACTCTGCTATAATTCCATAACTCTTTTTAAATGTTGATGGGATTTAAATTTATCAATATATCATTCATAGTTTAGATATATACTGTAATTAATTTCAACAAGTTTTAAAATTAACTAGTGATGATCAATCATTTTGACATGATGATGAATATAGATGAAACTATTAGAAACACATTGTGACGTGTTTCAAGCTAAAATTCTAAAAATATACTTCTATTTTTGACAAACTAAACCTATAATTCTAATGACTTCCTCACTTCTTGTTTCTCAATTGACATATCTAAAGACCACAAAAGATTGAGACAAGACTAAAACCATTCAATAACAGACAACTCTGCTCAAGTGCTCAGTAACACAATAACCACTTTGTGTAATCAAGACTAATATATCTTAAATTTTTGTACAAGTGTATAATACTGATTTACATCTATTAGTACTCCTTGAAGAATATAGCATAAACAATGCAACATATTGAGAAGACAAGTATGATAGCATCAAATGTAAGAGCACTCATTGCTTGATCACTTAATTCTAAATTTCTCCCACCAAGCCTATCCACCATATCAGGGACTGGTTCATAGTTCATAACATCTTGCTCGTAAGGGTCTTCGAGCTTCATCTTCATCTTCTCTGCTCGACGACTAGCTGCCTCTTGAGCCAATGTCCAATCATAGAAACTCCGGGTCTCATCATCACTCAATACATTGTATATTTCTCTTAGTCTCATGAACTTCTCTGATGCTGTTTTCAAAGGAAGCGAAGTTGTATCAGGGTGATATTCTTTTGATAATCTTCTATAAGCTGCTTTTATCTCCTCTAAATCAGCATCTGGTGGTATTCCTAAGAACCTGATTAACAACAGAAAATCCTAATTAATCAGCATAAATGCATAATAAACATTAAACATACGTACTAGAGACTTGTCGAGTTGATAACGTTTGTACATAAACCTGTAATACTACTTACTGATAATGAGAATCAGAAGAATAAAGCAGGTCAGAAAATTTTTCACCAAGTAAATTTTTCTGCTCGGTTTCAGGTTTAAGTGGCTCTTGTTTAGCATTTGAACTGCTCCCTCCAACCCAACCTTCATCATCATTCTCCCAATGAATCCTTGTGTCTACACCAGGGGGTGGTCTTTGCCAATTACCGGAATCTTGTGTCGCGGCAAAAACGCAGAGTTTAGCATGGTTTTTCCTCCTGGTTGTTGCTTTGTTTTGTATCAGGATACTAGTTTGGTTCTTCCATGTTGGATAACCAATTATGCTACCAACGACGAAGAGGGAAGCTGGAGACGGAGGAGATGCCGTAGAGGCCATAGGATTAAGATGATTTGTGAGAAAATCCAGCCTTGTTGAATTAGAGGTTGTGCCATTGCTTTAGACTTTGTGGTTCAAATGCAATACAAGGATATCAAGAGAGGAAAATTGCAACAATTTTTGTTTGTCTTGTACTTCAATATCTAATTGTCTATATATGGGCTGTCAACTTGTCATATATTGTACATGACATTCATGATTCTATTCATCTTTTATCGATTTTTTTTTTTTTTTTGTTCTATCCGTCATGCATTCCTATTTGAAAATTCATCTAGGACTAATATGTTCAAGTTCGAAAAAAATAAGACAAGGGATAAGTTTTAAGAGTTGTTTGGTTACACAAAGAAAATGGGGGGAGTGGAAAATCATGGGAATTTGAAAATACATGAGTTGTTTGGTTGACAATAAAAAGTGTAAATGAAGGAATTGCAAATTCATGGGAATTGTGACTTCCCACAAAACATGGAAGTTAATTACCTAACCCCCCTGGGTAAGTCAAACTTCCCATGATTTGCAACTTCCCTCATGCCAACCAAACAACTTTATACAATTCCCATGATTTTGATGTAGGAATTTAATTCCCATGAAATACAAATTCCTATGGGAAGTAATTTCCCATAGCAACCAAACGACACCTTAGATAATAAAGTGTTAACAATCAAAGGTTGAAGCAACAAAGTAAAAATGTTACCAATCATTCAATTCTGTTACAGATACATCAAGATAAAACCCTTAGGGATCTCTCTACAATTGTCTGTTTAATTTACTCCCTCAGTTTCATTAATATACAACTATACAAGACACTCACTGTTTACAATAATTTCAAATTAAGTAAAATAATACTGTATAAGATTACACTCAGATACTCAATCAGTGACTTAAATCTTGAAACAGAGGGAATAAATCCGAAAGAATGTTGCCACTAGCTTACTCATGCTAAAGATACAACGCAAGAAGACTCCTTACGGATCTCATTGCTACTATCGGTTTCTGTGGATTTCTGGGTTTCCATGGTTCTACTATCATCCAGATAGTTCTGAAACAAATAAGAAGCAAATCCCCATAATGCTAGAAGCATTGCGATTGCCTTTGCTCCATTCAATGTTTCACGGAAAACTATCAGTGATGCAATAGGAGCAGCAGTGAGAGCTACTGTACTAATAACATTTGAAAAGAGAGAGGATACCAAAAAGATCAAGCCAACTACACCAACTGAACAAATTTGCCAAGATATAGCAGTCCAAACCAAGGTCATAAAGTACGACGGAGGTCCTGAGTTAAAATTTTCCATCTCTACATGTAAAGTCCTCCATTGCCCACTTGCAAAGAGTCCGCTTATTGAAACAATAGTTGCTACGAGTGAAGTGTATATTTGCATCTTCATAACTACGGCAAAACTTTCAGATTTCAACACTTTCTGAAAGGAAAGCTGCATCAGAGACAGAAGAAGGGCATACACTGCTGAGGCGCCTAGAGTGCATATAAATCCAATAGAATATTCCAGTTTAGATACCCCTGCTGGTGAGTCAGAATCACCATTCACAGCAAGTAGAGCCGCAGAGAAGGAGAGAATAACCACCGAGTTCAGTATCAATGGGGTGAACTTCTGATTGTTAATGAAGTACGAGAGGACTGCATTGAAAGCTAGCTGTGTTGCACAAATGAGAGAATAGGTAGAGGCTGAGAGAAACAAAAGTCCTACAGCATAAAGCAAATTGTTACCAGCTAGGAGTACACCAAGAGAAAGATAGATCATAACAATGTGCTTCTTTGTACGTGGATCAGGAGGAGGTGAAGAACTTGGCGGTAATGGAATAAGGATCAGTGGAATGCAGAGTATGGGGAATCCTGCAGTTTGTACAATAGTTGCTAAAAACATGCTTGTTCCGCCTTCAGCATAGTAAAATCTACCTAGCAGAACAGCTGCAGTTTGGCCTAAAAGAACAAAGGCAATATTGATTGCCACTAACATCCACCATCGTTTTCGTGTAAGCTTCAGAATTGGTGATACCTCAATTTGGGTTCTGACTCTAGTCAAGATAGGGTATTCGATATCTGCAATGTATAGCAAGTACTTAAGCAAACATTACAACCAAAAAACAGACAGACAACAATGCAAATAACTAAAAAAGTACTATTTCCCAAAAAAAATTAAGTAAAAATGACCTGCCAACATTAGAAGGGGTGACAAATATTATTTCTCAAACCCCTTTTATCTAAAAATTCCGGCGTAGTTGCCTATTAATGGATGTTGACATAAATTGAACACTCGAAAATTTCGATGTGTTGGCAACGACTTAATAGAAAGATGCCAGTCTATTGCAACTCAGATCCTTCACCTACCTTACGATATCTTAGTCATACACAATCCTTGAAAAAGAAAGCAAAATAAATACCCTAGTCCAACACATTTGACAAGTCTAAGTAGTATATAGTCCATAAAAAGCCTTAGACCATCATTGTGAAGAACATATATACATTTAACTCAAAGTAGAGAAAAAAGGAAAAAAAAGAAGTTCAACCTTTTTCTTCATACTAAATTCAGCAGTAAAAAACTCCAGATTAATAAGGTGAATTTACCTGCGAAATCCTGCATTGGATTATATATTATATTGAATCCTTAACGAATGATCATCTTTTACCAATGTTCAATTCGGGAGAAGCTGTTGTACCACTAGATTGTTCACACACTAAAATGTAAATTTAATCATATTTGCAACAGCTTCACCTGAAACAACAAAAGACAAGAGTTGAGAAGAAGATAATATGCATATGACCTGTAGAATTTCAGACCAATCTGATCAACTTATACGCGAAATATAATTCAATTACAAATTCATTCAATAAAGGCTTCAAACTACCAGAATCCTGACTTGTATCAAGCCTACAAGAACTCTTTAGGGATGTTATAAAATCTGTTAAGGTTTGTGGAGTAACAAATACATGACTAGATATTGATGTTTTCAAAAATTCCCTTTCATTTACATAAATCTTGCCATGACTTCATCCCTGTTTGCTCGATGAAATGAATAAAAGCTACATAATCTAAGGCCGGAATGATAATTCAAAGAGAACAAAACGAGTAATCAGTTCCGTGGGCAGACAGAACGATTGAAGCAACCTAAACAGGATAATGATTGATCACTTATGTAATTTTACTCTATTTCGCCTATTATCTACCCGTGTTAGATAACCAACAATAGACAACTACAACACAAGAATACATGGACACTTGAAACTAACCCGTGTGACCGTGTCCATACTCCATAGAACTATCAATGTAACCCGTGGGTGGGGCCATGTCTAACCCTTGTACTCAAGTCCAAGTAACAAAGTAAACACAAATAATATATAGTCTAGCACATTATTTCATTATTAGACACCCAATGTGACAACCAAACTTTCTGGTCATTCAAATTCCAGAATAACAAAAAGCATTTAAAGCAGCATAAATTTCAAATCAATTCAACACCATTTTCTGAAACAAAACCCAGTTGAACATCAATCACTCCTCCTAAACCTGCCCCACTAATCAACCAACAAAAAAAAAAATCCAATCTTTAGAAATTAAAATTTGATCAATCTCACCCATATCAACAATTATACCCAAATAATTCAAAGCTGGGAAATGGGATTCAACGCAACCCCAGTATAATTCATGCTATAATGAACAATTTCAATTTCAGAATTAGGTTTAAATTATTCCAATTCAAATTGGGTGAAATCATATATAAAATTATTTTTAATATAAATCAACAGTATATAAATCAGAAGAAAAATTTATAAACAAAATACCAAGTTAAGAAGATTACTCACAGTAAGTGGATTTGAATTTCCTTGAGACCGTAATTTGTCTGAATTGAATATGAAAAAGTGATAAAAGGGGAAGAAAAAGAGCATTTGTTATTATGTCAAATTATTAAATTATTTATAACCGTTAATCATCACCAGCAACTGAATCTAACTATTTTTTTTCTTTTTTTTTCTGTTAAAGAAAAAAAAAAAAAAAAAAAACCTTTCTTATAGTGCATAAAATTTAATGAATAAATAATTCGCAAATAAAATTCATGGAAAAATTATTGAGAAATTCTCTTGTATTTAGAATTTTTCATTTTTGCATTTCCCCTCATTTTATATGTGCAACCAAACGAACCTTATACGGAGAATTTTTGTATTAAGAAACTTTGTCGTATTTTAACTTTTAAGCAGTTATAATAATGTTTGGTTCGTGTAAAGAGCAATCTAATTCGAAGATTTAGCATTAAGTTAAATCAAATGTTCTGTCAAAAAAAAAAAAAAAAACAAATGTCTTAGGATGATTTTAGGTTTATGAATAGCGAACAATGCACTAGACTTGGTTCTCATGCTATCATTTTCATCTCATTTTGGTGTCCGATTGTGTGCCTATATTTCCCTTTCATATAGTATATACATACATTCACTTGTCATCTTGTCAAAATTTGGGTAAAGTGTTATACAAGCCCTCCACAACTACATTGTCAATCCCTCATTTTTTCTACTACGTATTATATTAAGGAGTTGGTCCAACTACTAAAAGCTACTTAAATATTACGAGTACTATAGATCATGTCAATAATTTTCAAGTTTCAAGTTTTCTACTTTTGCTAGCACAACATTGTAAACAACTAATTCTGAACTCCATCAATTTTCGTGTAATAACCCATATCCAGCGATTTCAAACTTAGTTAACCATAATTTTACCCATTATACTCCATTTAATATAGTGTGATTAGAATCAAACCGATCAAACTAAATTAAACCATTACATACTTTATTATATCACATAAAAACAACACACATGCATATTACATGAAATCTTACCTCCAAATACAAGAAACAAATTTTACCAACATCCAAACACTAAAGTTGAATGAGTAACTTTGACCCAAAAAAACTAACAAATAAACCAATCAATCATGATAATCATAACAATGGTAAGATTCACATTAAATAATCAATTATCCTTCTCTAAAACCCAAATTAGGGGTCTTAATCTACAAAATCTAAGATGGTTTGTTTTTATGTTTTTGTCAAAATCAATCTTTTTAATCAATTTTAGCTTTCAATTCCACTTTGCTTCGTCGGTGGCTGTCCCCACACGCTGTATCTCCCTTTCTTCTTCCTTTTTTCACTCTCTCACTTCCATTCTCTCTCCTGTTTAACGCCATAGTTACTCACCTTCACTTTCTCTCTCCTCAATCACCAAAAAAAACCCATCATATTTCACACCATTAAAGGTAATTATGCTAACCAATTTAATTTCATCATTAATACCCTGTTAATCTTTCTGGGTATTTCATCATTCATTCCAAAAAGATAAAAAGTTCCAATCTTTCCCCTGATTTGATGCACGGTTACAGTCGACTTGGGCCGAATTTCAACCCATCATCACCGTCGTCTTCTCCGCCATCGTCCCCCCGATTCCGGCCGTCCCGAATGAAGCCCAATGGGCTGATCTCCGGCCCAGGAATCGGAAGGGGAGGAGTTGGTGGGTCGATGAAGCTTGGGAATTTCGTCGAACGGTTGGTGTGCATTGTGATTGCATCAGTTTTTAGGAGAAAAGGGGTGGTGTTGTTTGCCCCTGTATTGTATATTACTGGGATGTTGCTGTATATGGGCTCTTTGAGTTTGGAGAATAAAGTTGGGGGAGGAGAGAGAATTGGGGGTTTGAAGATTAAAAAGGGAAATTCTGATTATAGTGGTGGGTTTGTGGTTGATGAGCCGAGGTTGCCGGGTTCTTTGTATAGAAGTCCTGAGGTATTTGAGCGACTTTGGCCTTTTCTGGAATCTGATCAAGGCAATCACTCCTCTAATGCTGTATGTTCTTCATACTTTACCTTTAATTTTGCATTTTCAATTATTGTTTTTAATGAATTTTTGGGTTTTAGATGTGCATTTAATTGTTTGGTTTGCTTATGTAATGAGTAGTTAGCTTTTAGTTTGGTTGGTAGAAATTATTATGCAAAGATATTTGTAGTGTTTGGTGTAGCTTGAAACTGAAAAGGTGACAATTACTGACTAGTGTAGTTTGTTGATTGTATATTAGCTAGAGCAATGTTTAGGTGAGAGTGGATCATACTGATTTAATTACACCCATGAAAGTTATGAAGTTATACTATTATCTCACATTATCTCACATTCAAAAAATGTGAGGCTGTCTCGTATTAGTCATGGAGGTGGGTTATGTTACTTGGACCTAGCTCCATCAGCAAAGTATTTGTGGGATGTGGACATCAGTTAAGTTTGTTGGTATCTCAGTGTCTGTTGGGCTCCATATCTGCATTTCTTGTGAACCCGAGAAAGATTTAAGGGGCAAGGATGAGAGGTTAGTTGTAACACTTGGGTAATATATTGGATTTTTAGTTAGCTTATAGTACTCTATTAGAGTATTACTGCAAAGTACTTAGTAAAGTATTTTCTCTAAGTAGACGATGAAGAGGTAGAAATTGGGTAAATGGAAGTATAGCTTTTTGGTTCGGTGTAATGGTCTAAATTTTAGTAGACCAATAATTGAACTCTTTGATTTGTACCTTTAAGTCTTAAACTCATGAGATAACTATATGGCGTCACGCATGGGATTAAATGAGTGTCGTGGGAGCAAAGCCTCGAGGGATGGAATGCACTATATACATGCTGCTAGCCTCTGTACTATGAGAAACATCTATACTAGCTCAAACATATTATGAAGAGCTAAACTAGTATACAAGTATCTAGTCCTGTTGCTCCTATGATTTACCTATTAAGTAGGGGAGCAAAGCTTCAATTCACCAAGCAAAGTACTGCTTACTAAACAGGATAATGATTAAAGTTTTCATTTTCTCGTCCAGCATTAGTTTAGGTTAGGAAGCTTATCTAGAGAATTTTTTTCATTGAGGTAAATTGAACAACCAAATTTTGAGAACAATAACTATCCAAGTTGATGGATTTTTTTTCTTTAAAAAAAAAAAAAACACTTAAAAAATCAAAACAATAATGCTTTAAGTTGCTGACAAAATCAGTATCATAAGGGGCATGTATTGACTGCTGACTTCCTTCTTTAACATGTTAATCTGGGAGGCTCGTGTAGGAAATGCAGTGGATTGCATGCCAGATTGTTTCCTCGCAGACTGGAGAGAGCGATGATATTTAATTCATGAGATTGTTTTGAAGGCTGACCTTTAGTTTTAGCATATGTAAGTTTTAACTAATACGGAATATAATTTATGGCTATAGAAGTCTCAGTTGTTATGACAGTTGTTCATAACAACTTTGCTATAATCAATGCATTTACTTAATGTTTATGTTCTATTTACCTGGTTTCAATTTTGATCTATCGAATTAGAATTCTAGGTACATTTTTTGTTTCGCCATTCAGCATATTCAAATATTTCAGGCCCTTGTTTCTTTCTCTGTTGCGTGTCTTATATTTGAGCTTCTTTGTCAAAATAATGCAGTTGACGACAGTGTGGCCTTCAAGATATCAGCGAGGCTGGAAACCCTGCACAAATAACAGTGCTGTTGAAACAGGTTTGACTTTCACTGCCCTTATGAAGCTTAAATTAATGATTTTCCTCATTATTTCTACGTACACAGTAGTATGTACCTCCAACTTAAACCAAATAATACGTGTATGATGCAGCATTTGCTAATTCCATTGCCTAATTTTATGGCTAATGAGTTGAGGCAACATCAAATATCCCAATTTTTATTTAGGCTTTGTTCTCCTTAGCTTATTTTTTCTTAACTTAACTTTTCGCTTGATTTTCCTTCCCCCCCTCTAAAAGCCGACTTATTTTTGTTGAACTAGCTCATTTTTGCTGAAACTTATATAAAATTATAAATAAGTTGTGGAGAACAGAACCTAAGTATTCTCCCCTTTATCTTTTGCTTTTGAGTCCCTGAACTTTTACCTCACCCTTGCCACCTCATCTATTCTTTTTGTTTCAGAATTGCCAAAATCTAATGGATACTTTATAATTGAAGCAAATGGTGGGCTTAATCAGCAACGTCTTTCGGTATGTTTGCTTCTCACTTTGTAATCAATCCATATCAATATCAATATATCAATCAATATCAATATCAATCAATATCAATATATCAATATCAATATCAATCAATCAATATATATTATTAAAACTCATGGCAAGACATGATGTTTTGCCATGTGTCACCAATTTTGCCATTTGACATATGATGTGTCGCCAAATCATACCATAACATTAATTATTGAAAAACTCCATGCATTAACTTCCATGTATTAATGTTAAGTTTAATTGATGAACTCTTCATATGCATGACAATTTCCCTTGGAATGCAACTCCTTAATAATTACACAATAATAAAGTTTGTAAGAAATTAAACATTACTCCATTTTTATTTTGTGCATTAACTCATAAAATTGTAATCATAGAGTAAAAGATTTTTGTGCATTATGGAGTAGTATATATTTTGACATCAAATTTATAAAGATTTGTTTTATCATATTTGTATGATTTTAATGTAAAAAAATTATTTTTATAATCAAACCAGCTCATACAAGCAATAAACTACTTAATCTATCATAAAAATAAAAAAAAATTAAAAAAAAAATCACTTAAGCTCTCAATGACAAACAAGCCAAAATATATATAGTTCGACTAAAGTAATAAATTCATAATGACTCGGGGCATCGCCCGGGCAAATAACTAGTTTTTTTTATTAATTATTATGTATGGCTTCTTTACATTAATATAATACGTTTGATAGGCTAGTACAACTGTACAATGTTAAAACACTAACAACCTTAAAACAGAATGTTTTCAGATGACATGGTGTTTTAGCTGGAAAACAATTCTCCATGGTCCAGTTTTACTTGAAAATTATCTTACTTGCTAGCAAAGTTTCTCTAATTACACTATTACAAACTGTTTGTTTTCAAATAGAAAATGGGGACAAATTATTAGGTAAGCTTGCTTTGGTGAAGAGAATTTCAAAATGCCAAATACATATGACTATAAGTCTAGTAGTAACAAAACAGGTAAGAAACGCAAAAAAAGCACATAGGTAGATAGAGAGTAAGGAAATATAAGGGTAGCTTAAGCAAAAAGATGAAGGGAAACATAGACAAAGGCTGACATGTGGAGCACCAAACTCTGAACCGACTAGAATGTGAAAATGCTATGAGAAGGAATCCTTTATCTCACATATGACAAAATCGTGTCAAGAGTCATATACTGATTCAAAATCAGCTGTGTTCCTGCGCTGTGTTCCTGCATGTAGAGTGAAAACTATTGAGAACTAAGACAAAATGGAAGGGTCAAAGTAAAATAGCCCTTGGCAAAAGCCAAAAATTTATTCTTGTGAGACTTCTTCCGGTGGCAAAGCTCTTTAGCATTGTGTTTTGATTTTTAAGTGACTTCCTAAGGTTACCAAGGTCACTCTAAGAATTGCAGCTATAGCTCATGTGCATAAGTCCTTCAGTTGATGGAAGACTTTCCTAAACAAATAGTACCTCAAATCATCTAACATATGCCCATGAATTGCTCCCAAGAAAGCTATGCCGAGGATTATGTGTAGGAGACCTTTTTAGACATCTGTGAAAAATCTATAGGAATATGAGGAAAACCTGTGGTTCTTGAGCAACCTCCAAGAGTTATTTAATCAGCCCCTTGGAAGTAGATGATGTTAGAAGATAAAAAGATAATAGACCCTTGTGCAGTTTATGGAATTGACGGAAATATTTCCAAAGGGGGATAAAAAGTGACATTGACTCTGTAGACAATGCCTATTGGTTAACCTTGTTTTCAATGTTTTAAAGCCCATGAATGTGCTGTGAAGGAGAGAAAGAAGTACCTCTTAGCTCTTCATAGAATCTCCTCCTTTGTGAAGTATACCCAATAAAGTAACTCATGGAAGTGAGCCGTGGAAGGGGTACCTAAAGGCCTATGCCATTTGATAATGTTCCACATAAGTTATGTCCGTCATGGCATTGGTTTAACTCATATCTAATTCATGCATGTTATTGATTCGGTTGCATATGTGATATATGATTGAACAAATGTATGATTCCTAGATATTTCCGTTTAATGCTTCTTGGTAGATAATATTTTGTAAATATGTTTTCTTTTTTATTTCCTTTCTTCTTAATGTGAAACATTTTCTGTGATTGAAATCTGAATATCTCATAAAGTTTTAGTTGCTATTTCTTATATTCTCTGTAATTTCAAATTTCAGATTTGTGATGCAGTAGCAGTGGCAGGGCTGTTGAATGCAACTCTTGTTATTCCAATATTTCATTTAAATAGTGTTTGGCGAGATTCCAGGTACCATCTCTAAGTGCTTTACGATTAAGTTATGGAAAAATGGAAAATGCACTGCCATATTTGGAGGTGCATGCCTTTTTTCACATTTGATAGTTTGTTATTTGGGAATTTCTTTATGAGGCATCAACTATTAGTGCTCAAGTCCTAGGATAGCTTTTGGAGTATAAAGGTGCAACCAGCTCATACAAGAATTTAGTGGAATTTAAGGATGACTGTAGTTGTATCGATGGCAGTATGGACAGATTGAGCACCCAGTTATCCTGTATTGAGATGCCAATCATATTTGTTTCGTAACGATAATTAAGCTGAAGTAGTAAACCAATAATGTTTGTTCTCCCTCCTTCCCAGATAATACTCACAAAAACTTATCCAAGTGTTCTAGTTATAACTATTAAAGTTCACATTGAGATGAATCTAACAAGATTCCATTTAATTCCATTTAACTATATTTTTTTTCCTTATAAATTGATGAGTCTTGAGCATTTATTAAAGATACAGGTTGTGTTTTTTGATGTTAGTGATCCCATCAAGGCTATGGGTTAGCATCAAAACTTGATCATTAGCTGTTTTATATATACTTTATGTGGTCACCATTTAACTTGGAATGATTTCAGGCTTTCATCATCTTTGTTGTTCATGTATTTGTTTCCTTATCTCAGCAAATTTGGTGAAATATTCGATGAAGATTTCTTCATATATGCTCTTAGAAATAAGGTGAACGTAGTAAGGCAGCTCCCAGAAGATATTCTCCAGCGGTATAACCATAATATTAGCAGCATTGTGAACCTGAGGTTAAAGGCTTGGTCAAGTCCTACATATTACCTGCAAAAAGTGCTACCAAAACTATTATCATTGGGGTATGAATTTACTCTAGTGCACTGTTCTCTTCTGCTGTCCTCTGAACATTCTACAACAATATTACAGAATATATAACTTTATCCTACATAAGCCTTAATTTGTGTTCTTATCTGCAGGGCTGTACGTGTAGCACCATTTTCCAATAGATTGGCTAACACAGTACCTCCAGAGGTTCAAGGGCTACGATGCTTGGCAAATTTTGAAGCCCTGCGCTTTTCTCAGCCTATACGATCACTGGCAGAGGTCATGGTTCAAAGAATGATTCAGAGAAGCTCAAGGAGTGGGGGGAAGTATGTTTCAGTGCATCTGCGCTTTGAAAAGGTAGGCAAGAAGATCAGACATTAAAAATGTCTCTGATACTTGAAGTCAGGAAAAGTAGATGCCTTCTGATATATCAAGCTCCTTCCATATTTGTATCTAAAAGTTATCTTCTTCCAGGATATGGTTGCATTTTCCTGCTGTATATATGATGGAGGAAAAGAAGAAAAGCAGGAAATGGATATTGCTAGAGAAAAAGGCTGGAGAGGAAAATTTCGTAGAAGGGGTCGAGTCATAAGGCCTGGTGCAATAAGAAGGGATGGAAAATGCCCACTAACTCCAATAGAGGTATGGCACAGTTTGATGACAAACACCTGTCTGTTGATTCCACACATTTTCACTTTCTTCCTTAACTATAAACCAACAATGTGAAAAAGATATATTTCTTTCTTTCTTTTTCTTGCTAAGTTCTCTCCCTACTTTTTGAAATACCATTTGTAATATAGTACTCTCTTCTTGCTCAGGTAGGAATGATGCTTAGAGGTATGGGTTTTGACAATACCACTGTAGTGTATGTTGCTGCTGGGATGATTTATAAAGCGGATAAGTTCATGGCACCTCTTAGAAAGCTTTTTCCACTTTTAGAGACAAAAGATACATTAGCAACCCCTGAAGAACTTGCCCCATTTCAGGTACTAATATGGTGGTATTATATGAAATCTGTCTGCTAGGATAGCCATGTTGAAAGCATGACAACTTTTTATTGCAGGGTCACTTGTCCAGGTTGGCCGCCCTTGATTATACGGTTTGCCTTTACAGCGAGGTGTTCATCACTACCCAGGGAGGAAATTTTCCCCACTTTTTGATGGGTCATCGGCGTTATATCTATGGAGGGCATTCGAAGACAATCATACCTGACAAAAGGAAACTAGTTCTATTGTTTGACAACCCTGATGTTAGGTAATCGCAAAATCAATGTTATTGTTTATATTCCTATACAGTTCGTGACAGACCGGCAATTGGATAATAGGTGGAGTTTCTATATCAGTAAAAAGATTTTACTGTTATTAAGAAGCTAAAAAGGCAAATATTTTTAAATCTCAAGTGTAGGACATTGACTTTGGAACTGAGTTAATGGACTGGATCAGAATTCTCTCTTCTTGGCATTTAAACTAATTCGTAATGTTCTGCTTGGCATTATAAAGTAATCCACAATGTTCAAAAAAGAGGATTGATGAACTGAACTTTCTTACAGTAATCACATGATGCATCATTTTTTAATCGGCTTGCTTACATGCTACTTAATATGTTAATGCAGATGGGAAACTTTTCAGTACCAGATGCAAGATATGCTGAACCGTAGTGATTCAAAGGGACGTGAGATGAAAAAACCTACGGCATCACTATACACATTCCCCATGCCAGATTGTATGTGTCAGGAGGCTGATGCAAATGCAATGCACGGAAATGGTACGCTTAGTTTATCTTGAAATTTTTTGACCCCCACACGAATTCTTACAACTCTACCAAGAATTCAAAATGATCGCCATACATTTTTGTATATGGTTCGATAATATATAGTTGATTTTTTTAGCCGAGTAATTTCATTCAATTTACTAAACTAAGTTACCTAATTGCTTTAGTTGAGATGAGAAATTAGCTACTAATTCTTTGATATATAGGTGCTAGAATTCGAATTATTCCTTGTAAAATTCGAGCTGCTACAATGTAAATTAATTAATTTATTAATTAATTCAAATTTATGTTTGTTTAAAAAGTTATCTACTTTTAATCTACCATGATTCTCCATTGTAATTATAAGTCAAATGTTCGTGGAAGATTGTCTCCTTTCCATAAACCTTTTTGGATTTTGGTGAGATGGAATCTCAGAAAAAGCCATGACTCTGACATTATTCGGTGCTAAACAGAATTATATCATTATAGCCCAATAACTGTCATTGAAAATATACTTCTGCTAATAATACACCTAATCACCCCATTTTTATTTATTTGTTATTATTATTAAGTATTTAAGTGGGGTTAACAATACAGTACTATTTGTTTTTACCCCTTCATTATTCCTTGGCTTTACTATGCTTCAAAATTGTGAGTTATCAACTTATTACAAGGGATAACAAGGTAGGTCCAAGAAAAAAAAAATACTATACATACAAAATAAGTATTCTTTTCATTTCAAAATTATTGATACAATTTGAACGGAAACTTTGTAGTATACTGTATACAAGTTAGTCATTTTTATTTCTAATTAAGTATTTAATTAATTAATTATAAAAAGTTGATCTTATGAAAATATGGATCGATTAAAGAAATCTATCTAGCCAATTGAGTGTTTATTTGAAGTACTTGCATTATAACTCTTGTTTTGATATATATATATATATATATATATATATATATAGAGCCACATTTAGTACTCCGTATGTAAATAATGCAAATAAGTTCAAATACGAAGTGTGTCAGTTTCATAAAACAGATGAAATGTCATAATTTTAAAATTGTTATACAGTTGAAATTATTGATTAGAATCATTAGATTATATAATCCAAAGTAGTTCAATGTTCTACCAATAAAAAAAAAAAAATTATCCCTTTACTCAAAGAATCGGTTATTCAAAATTTAAATTAGTTATCACTGTTATAAACTAGGCCGCTATCACGTATTAAATAAATAAAGTTGATTGATAATAGAGATGATCTAGCTATTTGGACTTCCATAAAAAGAGGATGACTATCACTTAGCTAAGAGGTGGGTTACCAATCCAGTGTATTTTTGTAAACCTTGTTCAATCTCCCTGTTTTTGGGTTGTTTTTTTTTTACTTTTTACAAATAACATTGATTAAATAACTACTAATATTTGGGTTGTTTTTTTGACTTTAATAATGTTGATTAACTTGCTAATATTTATGTCTGTTATCCTATGTCTTAATTATAATCTCTATTTGACTAAACTTTTTAGTGAGTGACCATTTTCCAGAATTATTATTAATTGTTTAATCAATTTTTATTTTATTTTTTTTTTAAAAGAAGTGGAAAATAGACTCTTGAATCTTGATCTAACCAATTTTTTGGCCTTTATTGTATTGTTAAAGAATATGTTGGTACTTTTCCATTTTATATCGGCACTGTTTAAGGTTGGTAAAATTTGGTGTAAGATTGCCTTTAATACTTCCCTTCATTTAGGTATAGTTGTGTTTATTGTTAAAGTTGCTTCTTTCTATTTTAGGGACATCTTGATTACTTTTTAGTGACATAAAAAACTTATAGGAATTTCTTTTTTGCAACCAATGTATATTTTTTATACGTAGTAGTTATTTTTATAAGTATGACTTTATATAATCGTACGCATAGACAATGTATAATGCGGAGTTTGTATGAACTTCAGTTTCTTAGTATTCATAAAACGATTAGTTATACACTTATACTTGTTTGATGAGTTTTGTTATGTGAGAAGTAATGAAGTTCAAAAGATACAATGTTTTAACAAATTGAGAATTTTAAGAAAGAAAAGTTGATGTTAAACTTTGACTTCATATGCATTGGTGTAATGGTGTTATATTTGTTACAGAGTATGAACAAAGTTATCTACGTTAGGATTTATAAACGGCGGGTGTATTTATATGCATGGTTTGGTTTAAGGCAAGAATAGTGTATTGTCTGTATACCACTTGATGGGAGAAAGAGTTCTTCGTTTCTTGTGCAATTACGCTAATATTTGTTGATCGTCATCAATTAGCAATCGGTTACTTTGTGGAATTTTTGCATTGTCTTTTTGACTTTGGAAGCATCTCCAAGCATCATTGATCCTATTGATGATATTACTCTATTTCATTCAAATTGAGAAGTTGTGTTGGTACTTGGTTGGTAGTCTTGCTTTTAGTTTAATTTGAAATTAGGAAAATTCAAAGAGCGTGCAATTTAATTTGTATTGAGAAGTTGTGGAATTCACACAATCATACTCCGTATATATACTTTATTTAAAAATAGCTCGATATATTATTACAAGGTCATGAATTCAAATATTACAATAAGTCCATATCAATTCTTAGCCTCTTAGAGGCATTGCGAACATATTGGTAGCTAGAAGGAAGATTAGTTTTCCAATCTTAGCTGACATAATAAGCTAATTTATTCATCATTAAAGTTTCTCTTATGGTCTAATCATTTCAGCTTAATTTCAGTTCAGTTCACTTCAGCTCAGCTCAGTTCGTAATTTCCTTTTCTCGTAAAATATTCATTTCAATTCAGTTAATGTGAATAGACCCTTAGATCAATTGAATCACTCAATTCACCAACTAATTAAATAAATTATGCAAGTATTTATCTATATGAAAAGTAAAATATAATTTCCATAAGAGGATTATATTATACTTCATATTTAACCAATATGATAATGTTATGATTAGAGTAATAGAGATGATGGAAGGAAGAAGCAAAAGAAGATAGGATGACCAAAAACATAATAACACGTGCCCCTTAACTTGTGGGACAACCTTCATGCCACATGCACTTACTGCATCTTTATATCTTACATGTGACTCTCTCTCTTATCTCACCTTAACATACATTATTCTCTATTTAATTAACCAACTAACTACAATTAACAACAATTATTTAACTACAACAATAGTACTTCATTAAAATGGTGCCCCACTTGTCCATATCCAACGTAAAACTAGACCTACCTACCAAATCCCCCCTTTTTTACTTTCCTTATTTATACTCCTATTTATTTTACTGTTTTACTTTTACCTCTTGTTGTTTTATTAACCATTAAATATAGTTTATTTTTTAAAATAATAATTTATATTTGATAATATTATTACCAAAAAGTGGTCAAATACCTAAAAATCGAGTGTATAGGGTTACCCTCCAATCATCTTCCATTTCTTACTCCTCTCTTTCCTCACTATATAAATCCCTCTCTTTTTCTTTCCCTTTCTTCTCCCCACCAATTTATATACAAACAAACACCGTACAAAACCTATAACAAACTTAAAAAAAATATGGGACGCTCCCCTTGTTGTGAGAAAGCTCACACTAACAAAGGTGCTTGGACCAAAGAAGAAGATCAACGTCTCATCGATTATATCCGTCTCCACGGCGAAGGCTGTTGGCGCTCCCTCCCCAAAGCTGCCGGTACGTCTACGTCCCTTTCTATCTATCTATCTATCACTTTAATACCGCTTAATGACAAATTGACAACAGAAAATTAAAAACTACTTTTTTCTACGATTTTTTTACAAAAATGATAAGGAAACCTTTTTATTTTCAGGTTTGCTTAGATGCGGTAAAAGTTGCAGATTACGGTGGATAAATTACCTTCGACCCGACCTAAAACGTGGCAATTTTACTGAAGAAGAAGATGAACTCATCATTAAACTTCATAGTTTGCTTGGCAACAAGTAATAATTCAACTTCTCATTTTTTCTCTCTCCATATTTTAATTAAATTCAACCCCAAAATTAAAATTATCATTATATTTTTGTTTGGATAAATTTAATAACAATATTTAGTTTAATTCTTTTGTGACAGGTGGTCCCTAATTGCTGGCAGATTACCAGGAAGAACAGATAACGAGATTAAAAATTACTGGAATACCCATATTAAGCGTAAACTTATTAGCCGGGGCCTTGACCCGACTACCCACCGCCCGTTAAACTCAACCGCCGCCGTTGACGGTGGCTCTTCCGCCGAAACAACCACCGTGCCTGTGAAAAACTCGCCGGAAATTCGGGGTTTTAATGTGGCTAAAATCCCGCCAATAATCACGCAATTCGGACCGATTTCTAACACGATTGACTTCAAGAAAGGTTACCCTTCTCCAGATTTTGCCGTGATTGATAACAATTTGGTGAAGAAGAGTGATTCGTGCAACAGTGGCACCACCACGGACGACGGGCCAGCAGGTCGGATTTCGGGTTCGGGTCAGGCCCGATTGGGTCAGGATGGGATTGATCTGGAGCTGACCATCGGGCTTACACAGTTTCAGGGTGAGGCCCGTAATTCTACCGCGAGTAGCGCGGAGTCAAATGCCGCGGGTCAAAGCCCGAGTCCGGGACCAGGCCCGGTATCGGGCCCGTTTGAGTTCTTTTATAAAGGGCAAAATGGGGAAACAAATTGTTCGTGTTGTGAATTAGGGTTTCAAATAAATGGTGTAGTTAAAAATAATGGAGGAGGTTGTAGTAATTGTGAGACAAAAAATGGGTATTTTTATTCTAGGTACATTGGGCCGTTGGGTTCATAGAAATTGAATTGAATTAATAGGGGTACCCCTTTTTTCTTTTTAATTTTTAGGTTTTGGTATAAATGCTTTCACTAACTCCCCCTACCAAATTGTATTAAATTGGGGGGTCCCAAATCTTTTGATTTTTATCTTTTGTCCTATCACAATGGGAATTCAAGAAAATCTTTTATTCACTCACATATTTGTGTTTTTCTTAAAATTTGTTTTTATCTTATCCACATATATATTGTTGTTGATGTAGACGCTGCGGCGTTAGCATGTCGAATCGAGTTTTGTTAAAGTTTAATTATAAGAAAATTCTCGATCTAGTGTGTACTCACACACATTACAATTAAACTATTGTTCTTAATGTTTAATCGAGTTTATGTCACTATTTTGACATTAAACAATGCTCTTATCATCTTATGTTGAGATATGTCAATAATGTTCTTTCGAAAATAATGCCTTATATCTTGTATTT